TCTCTGTCCAAACTGCAGCTGCAACGCTTTGCTTGGGGACAGACTCTGCCACTTCTCTGCCACCCTGAGAGAATTACCTGCCAGGTGTGTTAGTGGGAACAAGYGGTGCAAAAGGAGTTTGTGCATGGAAGGGGAAGATCAGGGCAATCTYTTTGTCCTGACCCAGTTGATTTGTGAGCAGGGATGTTTCCAGCGTGKCTCAGAGCAAGGCGAGCTGTGTTTCCTTCTTTTGTGAGTGTGCAGTGCTCTCGTGTGGTGGTTTTGATGAGAGCTGGCAGTGCCAAACTTTAATTCAGRGCATCACAAGCTCCCAGGGTGAGTTTTTTCCATATTCCTGTTATTTTCTCTGTGTTTCATCCCAGGGATTCAGGGACTAAGGGAGGCACTGGTCATCCCACCACAACTCCTGCAAAAATCCAGGGGAAGGGACAGAAGAAATAACATCATAACATGTAAAATGCAGTGCTCACTCTGCTGAGAAGCTCAGCTTTGTGGGTTCCAGTCTCCTGCAATGTGGCAGTGCTCTACACAGAGCCATTCATGAGAACATGAACTGCCTGCACATGGCTTGGAGAGCTTTGGAGAGCTGCATTCCCAAGGCTGGAGGGGATGGCATTTTGTACAACATCACAGCAGGAATGAAGCATTTCACTGACACAGGCTGAGAACACAGCAGATCTAGGAAATAAAGTAATTTCCAAGTTAAATTGGTACCAGGATAGCTGCTGTGCTAGATCATCTCCTGAAGTAACACACAACCCTAAAAAATTCCCCTTTTCCATTAATACCCCTAGTTCTGAGAACACTTCCCCCTTTTCTCCCATTTTGTGAGGAAGGAGCTTGAACACACACCCTGCTCTCAGGATTGATGCTCTGAGTACCTTATCAGTGCTGTGCTTGGCCAGAWCACCCTCCCAGCTCTGAGAGAGCGAGGGTGGAGGCTGCACTGACTGCTCCCAGACTGACCCCATCTCCAGGTGCTGTTTCTGGGATGTCTGAGCACCCAGGGTGCCTCCAGCTGCTGGTGCAGACCCTCACCCCATGGAGCTTTCCTGGAATTCCCTACTCTCAATAGCCTAATCCCACCCTCTCCTCACCTTTGGCTCCTTCCCCACGCATCCAGAGGGTCACTATGGACCTGTAAGGACACGAACAGCCACAGCCAAACAGCTCATAAAACACACCCCTGYCAAAGGTCATCTCTGAAACACCATCCTATGGCTATGGAACAAACAGGATGTAAAAAATCCCATACACCACCTTCCCTCTCTTACAGAACCAATGACAACTTACACAGAGTATTTCAGTTGTGATTTAATTCTCTGCAGACAGAACACAACTCGCTGTCTCTTTAGGTAAGAAGMACCCACAAGCACATTTTGGCTCATAATCTGATGCAGATTAATGTCTGACAAACACTGTAACACCTTCCCTAACTGCACACACCGGCTTCCTGCAGCTGCAGTGTTGGCACATCTGTGTGGCAGAGAATTATTTAACTGGATGAGTAATAGTTACCTTTCTGCTTGTCTGTTTGCTACCAAATGAATAAACATCCAAAGTAATGCAGTGATTTATGAACTGGTCGTTTTGTTTGAAACGGTCAAAAGGAAGGACTCATCCAAAAATGCCACACTTCAAAGAAAATTGCATTTTTATATGGCTAAGAGCTGAGAAGCCTAAACCTAAACTGAGAGAAACACTTTGTAAAGAACTAGGTCTTGCYTTTCTTCAAGCTGAATACAGCCATTAAAATTCTGCTTGTGTTCACTTTACAGTCTCGAGTGCTGCCAAAGAGAAGGCCATTCAAAATGCAAGACCTTGCAGCACTGAATTCCAAGTAAAATTTCTCCTGAAAAATCAGGGAACATACTAAAATYATTATTGCTACATAATTGCATATAGCTTTTAGGATACAAAGTTCWCATGCAGGTAGCTTAATCTAGATTAGAAAAATTATGTCCTCTTGGCCTAAAAATTGCCCCATAGTTTCATMTGGATATGTGTTTCCATTTTCTTAGCCTAGAGTTTTGCCAAGCATTGCTGAATATTAGTTATCTTCAATCACAGAGGCATACACAGCTTGTGTTAGAATTAGTTGTTTCATACTTYGGAYTTTTATTTGAAYGTGATTTTTTTTTTAAATTTTCAAGACAGGAGAGTGCGCAAACTGAAAGGCAACCATCACCATTCTCCTCTGTACCATTAAGACATTACAGTCCTCAGATAAATATATTCCATTATAAGGAACATGATGCATTTAGAAGTGGCCATGGCTAAAGGTGTATTAATTATTGTGCTGTAGAGCTGCTCTACCCTGTAACTCTTAATCTCTACCTATTCAGTTTCTATTCAGCATGGGTTTCCAAAAAGATGGATGGTGCAGTAGTATTATACAGGAAAAGAAAACAGAGATGTGTACTACTTTACCTCATAAAAACACGAGCTGTATTTCACATCTGTGAGGTTGGAAGACTCCCACTGGGGCTGAGATCCCAGTGTTCTAGGGATTCTACACAGTCACAGAGAAATTCTGGCACCTTCAAACACAAGGAGTTTAAAGGGAGCAGCAGAAAACCAGACAGGAACATCCAAGGGCTCAAAATAGCATCCAGGCTGCCTTTCATCCTGTGCTCTGCATCACACRAATTCTGTATGGTAACATCAGTAAAAATCACAGGTGTGAGTCTGAGTCTAACCCAACRTTGCTCTTGGCCAGCAGGCATCCTCCACTTGGCTGTCCCAGTGCTCTGGAGACAGTCACCTTTTATGCTGCCTGTATTGCTTGAAACGTTKATAGGCTGGAAAGAAGTGAGGCTTGAACACTTCAGAGAGAGCYGGGGAAGCTGCTGCCAGGGTAGCTCTTTCATAGGGATGCAGGATCCTTAACTCTCTCTGCCATCCCATTTCCCACCTTATTTTACTCCATTATTGTAGAGACAGGTGTATGGACACAGGGTATTTGCTTGCTCTCAGGGTAATAACTCAGAGCCTCACACTGGAGTGCTTCAACACCTCTCCAAGTCAGATGACTGAAGCAACGTTATCCTTATTTTACAGATAGGGAAAAATCTGAATGGCATTTGAAAAGCATGTAGAGCTCTCAATTTTCAAACTTTTAATCAGAGGAAGAACTGGAAGCGTACGTAATTTCATTGGTTTTGACTTTGTTGCTCTAGGTTAAATACCCAAAGAAGCTGTGTGAGAAATCAGAATGTGATTAAGCAGAGGACTGAACCATGATCTCCCATGCTAAGAAAACACATTCCCATGCTAAAAATGAAACATTCAAGTCACCAGTATGAATCCAAACATACTTTATTCAAAGGCCAAGATTCATGAACACAACTTAACTCACTATCAAGTTTCACATTTTTGGTTCAGGATCTGAATATTGTACATCCATATCATTCAGAAACACTGCCACAGTAGCTGAACATTTCTGTAAYAACCAGGGGTACCTGCAGACTCTGCTCTCACACCTTTATATTCAACAGTTTCATCACAGACTCCTTGTACCGAGACAAGTTACTTTCTGTTTCCCCCTCGTTTTTAAGTGCAATGACGGAGTTTCTGTAATTCTGAACCACTTTAGAGGCGAGCAGCTCCTCCTTAGTGACATCAGTGACATTCTCTGAGGCTTTTATTCGCAGCAGCGTGTCCAAGGCGTTTTTCTGAGAGCGACTGTTCTCCCAGACATACTCCTCCATGTCTTCCTCAGCCTTCTCACTCTCCCACTTCTCTGTTTTCTGAAAGAAAATACACAGCCTTAAAAACTGCTCAAGACTGAAACAAAGTGACAACAAATTGAAGAAATTTCTCTCTCACACCAATTGACTCCAAGAACTGCATTCACTGTGGAAGCTATTTCCTCCTCCAGAGTCCAGTGGAGGAGTCCATCCTGCAGGAGCAGGATGAGTTCCTTTCTCCCACTCACAGGTCCTTCATGTATCTGGCAGATACAACTGGGTGAGTCAGAGAGGGAGGAAAAGCTTCTGGACTCTACYTAATGAGTAACTGAAACCTTGGTCAAAGCAGTGATTTTAAAGATCTCCAAACACTGCAGCTCTGGGAGCAGCCTCCTGTGCTGTCCCTGGCACAGGGTTCTGTTCTGGCTACACTGCCTGGCAGAGGGAGACAGTGCCTAACAAAGAACCCATGAGRTGATTCATAMAGAAAAGCACCACCAAAAAAATCCTGCTGCATTTGCTTCTCATCCCTGCTGTCAGCTCCTAACAGAACTGGACTGCTGAGTGATWAACAATCCAAGCTGTGTGAAGAAATCAGTCCCTCATCTTTTCAACCACTCGAGGGCAGCAAACTGTTAYTCTTTAAAAACCACTTGTACCATAAAAATACATCCAGGTTTCGAGTGATGCTACAGAATTCAAGAACTACCATCATTTAAGGCAGCAAAATACAACTGGTTAAGATGCTGTTTAATAATCTATCTAAAATAACTCACTCTTCCACTGATTAATTCAATCCAGGCACAATCCTGGGGGATAATTTGAAAGGAACCACAGAAAAAGTCCAAAGAACAWAAATTCAATTCTTACTAATTGGGGCAAGTAATTAATCTATCTAAAAATCTAATCTATCTAATTAATACCTTCTGAAAGCTAGTAAAACACAAATATTTGAGTAACAACCTGAGAACTTGCCAACAGGAAGCAAAATACCTCCAAGTATTTTGGATGAGAAAATACACAAACATTCATAGGTTTTAAGGATTTTAAAGACTGTTTTAAAATAACTGAACTCATACATTTCTTGTATTGCATTTGTAACTCATACAAATTCTTGTATTGCATTTGTAACTCTAATAAAAGAAATTGCCATTATTGGCAGCTGAAACATAATTACACTTGAAATTACATTTCGTGGTGTATCTACAGAGAACTTTTCCTTGCCAATTCACAAAACGTCACGTAATCCAGGTATTAACATTCACGTAATCCAGGTATTAATATAAACCAAAAGACTTCTGCCACGTTTAAAGGGATGCTGGCCAAAGTTTTCAGGCTTGAGGACATAAGTTACACAGATCCAGCTGCCCCTCACTCAGCAAGAATGGAACCCTGTCCTCATCTTTTGATTCCACACCCACAGCCAGTGTGGCACTWCTGTGCTGGGCACATATCAAATCTTACAATTATCTCTGCAAACAGGACTGATGTTACTGTCTAAATGAAAAGCCAGGCTCTGTCCACCCCCCTCCAATATTAAAGSTGATGTAAATGAAAATAAACCACCCATTGTTTGCTTGTGCTTTACTGAACAGATCCAAACTATCTTTCAGCAAGTTATTAAAAGGCATTATCCCTGATCAGGGGGAAAAAAACATGGCACAAACTAAAACATGTCAGACAAAATAAAAACCCATGTCTCAGGAAACCATGAATTTTTCATRGGAATCAAAGACAATTACAACTGATTGTCAAACTCATCAAATATTGATGTGGAGGATGAAAGGTAATAAAAGTGCAGGAGACTTGTGCATATTCAATACACACTGAACAGTCCCATATCAATATTGCATAGCCCTGTCTGCCAGCACTAATTAAACTGGAGCACAGCACAGCCATGGTGTTTGTCTGAAATTAATAAAGTGAGCACTGGCCAGCTCTCTTGTCTTTGCTTAATGCTGGAAACTACTGTGCCATTAATTTAAGATTTGCAGTGCAATGTGATGCTGTTGGAGAAAAAAAATCCATGTCTACTTGAAAGATGGAGTAAATGTTATCTTTCACCACCTATTTTAATTTGATGTACTCTACAATTACAAAATTACCCTTCAAGGCAGATGCCACTGACAGGGAATATAGCTCATCCTCCTTAGTGTTTCTAACATCAGCACTGCASTGCTCAAAATCAAGAACAATTCATAAAAATGCTAAATATGGGCATTTCATTGAACTACTGTAGAATAACTGAAAGCAGTAAGGATGAATCTTTGCTGTGAATCAGGAACAACTTCTGTAAGAGTGACATGGTGATGATGAAGGCTTTCACTGGCTGTCTCAAACCATGTRATATGGGACATTAAACAMAGTTCAGTCATCCAAAACATTACCATGGATTTTCAACAATGAATTCAGTTCAGACTGCTCCCTTGTTGTCTGTAAAATATGCCTGTAAAACTGCTGAAGGAAACCAACACAATTAACCACAAAAATGCAGGAGACAAGTGTGAAGAGAGAGCATTTAAGAAGCAGAACACTTCCAAATGACAGCCACAGTTTAGTGCAGCCTGGGAAGAGCCCAAGTAGAGATAYATTCTAATTAACAGTAGGAGTTTGGAATCAGGCAAAATGTTCTCTTGGTTGAATTTGAAGAAAAGTGAGTTGGAAGAGAACAGAATTGTAAAATAATTTACTCCATATCTGCTTACCCAGGACTCGTGATACAGAACTGTGAGCAGGTGGATGCCATAATCATAGTTCTGCCTTCTTAGGGGACACCTGGAAATGCAGAAACAAAGTTCATCTTTTGGAACAAAAAGTGAAAAGCTACCATTAAAATTTCTACTGTATAATGTAGGGAACCTGAGGAAATGAGTGTTTGATTCATGTGCTTTTCTGAATTACACACAACCAAGAATAACACCATGGTGGCATGGTATTAAGGACACAAGGAGAATGGGCAAYTGCAAGTCAGCAGGAAGGTACACAATATCCAACATTTTACAAATCTTCTGGAAACATCAGAATATACTTTGTCTGTGTGCCAATATATGAAGTCTGAACTCTTTTAAAACCTGTCTTTAACAGTAACAGGAAGAGAGTTAATTAAGCCCTCTTTTATWCTTAAAATACAATAATTCACCAAGACAATAATTGGCATAACCAGCAGACACCAAGCCCTTTCCACCCTGTGGCCATTGCTGCAGTATTTTTGTTCCCTTCTGGCAGCTCACCTGTCTGTTTTGATTGTGAGCACATCTGTCTCCGGACAGTACCGCTCTCCCACGAGCTTTATGAGCTTCTTCTTTGCATGATCATCCAAATTCAGGTTAGAAAGTTTAACCTGTAAAAACAAGAAAAAAAAAACCAACTTGAATTTCTTGGAAAATCCAATCCGAACACTGAAAGTATTTGAGACAGGCCCATCTTCTATCAAGAATCAGGAGAGCTATTCAAGGATGCATTTGCAGAATTTCTTCTGATTTTACCATGTTGGAAGTCTTAACATAAGGCAAAAATAATGTGAGTATTCAAACAATACATACATGCATAATAAACATCCCCACAATGCCTCACAAGGCCAGTCARTATGACTGGGCACACATTTGGTCAGGAACATACGGATGTACTCATTTGTGAACAATTCTGAATTCCCTACATTTCCCTCACTTCCTTTCCACAGATCACACTCACATATTTTGAAAAGGAAGTCAACTGTTTAGGGTTTTGAAACAAAGRCTGTTTACCAGAACTACTACTTACTCTTAAAGTCACCACTCTTGCTTTGGGATTCCGAATAGAAGTCCCTGAAGAAACATAATCTACTGTTTCAATTTCAATGGGAAAATGCTGCTCACATTTCTCATCACTGTCCAGAGCACTTGGCCACTCAGTGCAGAAATCTGTACAATAAAGAGAAAACAGTCCCAGTAATACCTGTCTGGTGTGTTTGGCTGGCTTTTTTTCTTTCAAATGTATTGCAATAAATGCTTTTATTCCTAGAAACCATACACATTCAGGTTACAGCAGTGTTTCTGCTAGACCTTCTCCAGTATTGCCATGCCTCTCTCTGTACTGGGTTCCCAAAACAGGACACAGCACCCCAGATGCAGTCTCACAACTGCCAAGCACAAYCACAGAATAATTTGGATTGGAWGTGACCCTCGTGCTGCAGGGATTTTTTACTAGATTCACCTGCTGAATGCCCTGTCCAACCTGAGCTTGGACATTTCCAGGATGGGGCATCCACAGCTTCTCTGGGCAAGCTCTTCCAGTGTCTCAAGCACCCTCACCACCAAAAATGGTTCCTTTGCCTGACCTCCTCATTAGGTGCCTTTACTGGCTTGCTGGGTGGAAAGATGCTCCTGGTCTCCAGCAGATGCTGTATCTCCCCAGCAGACCCTGCTCTCACAGAGGATTTAACATGAATAGCTTTATGCTCATTAAATGSASCCCATAATAGCTACTGATKGAAGCCTGGTTCAATCACAGTCCTMTRAGGACTGAGTCACRTTCATCACTCACTTTCTGTMAGGTGCTGAACTGTGAATTTGTCAGTTCAAGCAAGGCCTCATGGAAAAGTCCCATTTTAGTCTTAACTGTTGTGCTGAAAACCTGCTAGGAATTTTCTGCTACACCTGGCTGACTGCTGGCAGCAGCAGGAACAGACAGTACAGCCAGAGCCAGAAAAGAACCAGCCTCACCAGTGAACCATGGCTCACCTCCATCACACAGTTACATTCTGCGTTGTCCTAACCTTTGAGAAACAGTTTAAAAAAAACCAAACAAATGAACAAACAAAACCCCCMAAAAAACTTAACATCCCTCACCTTTAAGAGCTGCACAGTGCTTCTTAATTGCAGGAGGAGTAAGATGCAAAAAATTGGGAATCTGAAACAGACACATTAGGAGTCACTGAAACAATAGCTTTTTGTCTGATCGTAATTAAATGGGCATTACTGAAATCTGATTACACTTGTGATATTTGCTAAGGCAGTATAACATGCTTAAAGAAATATTCAGATAAGCAGACTTTTCTCGAGGCTGATTTAGAAGAAAACTTAAGTCTGTGACAAAAGTCACAGGCATGATGATCCTGAGAAAGTCTCCTGCTTTCGTTCATTTGTCAATTAACTTTCTATTTGTTACCACTTAGAAACTGAAGAGGATTATCTGAGTTAGTAACAGCAAACAGCCTCCAATGCAAATATTCCAATCAAAGCAGTGCAGCCCTAGTCAATAAAGACTTTAAAAKTGCCCACCCCACCCCTGGCACAGGCCTTACCTTGACAAGTTCTAGGTTGCCCTCTTTGGGGGGAGGCACCCCTCCCTTGATGGGGTAACCCATTCGGATGGGCAGAGGCACAGAGGCAGGTTTGAAGGCAGCTGCTGTTGGGTACACACTGCTCCAGTCCTGGTCAACAGMCATCCTCTCTGTCCTGGGAGGGCCAGACTAACCAAAGGACAGGGGCAATGGGATGGGAGACACACTGCATGTGAGACAAGGCAGGATCAGCACACCAAACACTGATTTCAGATATTGAKTCCCACAGCTGGACACTTCAAGGCACCTTCACAGCAAAAGTTARTGCTCATTTGGAGAGGGATGTTTAACAGAGCCTCTCCCATCTTAGTTACCAGGCCTTTCCCAACCTTCCACTGCATTTGATGGCAGCGATGCTTAGGAAAAAGAACTTGAGATCCTCCTGCCTTGGGATAAATCAGAAGGGGGAATAAAACCAAGCATGGAATTGAAAAGCCCAGTTCCTAAAGGGCTCGAGTGTGGCAGGCAAGACAGTGTGTTTTAAAATTCCGGAATTCTCTMTGTGCAGAACAGTTCACAATAAAGGAAACACATATTAATAATGGTGAAATTTCTTGCCATAAAAGTTCCAGTGTAGGGACAATGTATCAGTATTGCAGCAATAGCTTATAGCCTCCAATAACTGACCATCATTTCAGTCAAATACTTYTAGAAAAAGTTTCATGCCAGAAAGCAATAACAACAAATCCCATAAACTCAGGCTGTAAACGACATGTCTGGTTCATTGGAAATGCAAAATTTAGGTTAYTTTTCAGACCTGCACTACGTGGTGTCAATGCAAGTTAACCATTAGCTTAGTGCTGTATTTTTGATTTTTTGATAACATAGACTGAAAAGGTGATACAAGGCAGGAATTGGCCTGGAAAAGTCCCAGGGGATTGTTTCACCAGGATTTGACTGCAGAARGGCCTCCTAGACAAACTGTTACAGCACACAGCTTAGGATCCCAAACACCTGAGTTAACTGTAAAGCAGTTCAATACTTACTGGTCTTGCAAACTGTTGTGTCCTGCCTCTTCTCCTTACTGAAGCTGAAAGAAGGAAAAAGAAAAGCAAAAAACCAAAAGCATTTTAAAAATAGATTATTATATMGTTTCGGGAGCAAAAAATGTAGCACAATTTTGTATGGGTTTTGTCTCTTGTGACAATATCCAGTAATACTCCCCAGTCTTTACATGGAAGAAGGGGAAGMTCTGACACTCAAGACTGAAGATTACTAATTTATTTTGTAAAAGATAAAATAGAAAAGAACTTGGAGGACAAGAGTAAAGTGTGCTTTTGCCTTCATCCCTGTCCTCCCTTCTCTTTCCCACACAGCTGCTCAGTCACAAATCACTCTCCACCAGCAGCACAAGATGGATAAACTGAACAGTCTGTATTTCCAAAAGGAGAGTTTCACAGCTCCATCCTTTCCTTCTGCCAGAACAGCTTCACACCCTCTCCTGTGCTGTTCTCCAGCTCAACCAACCCCTGGACAAACAGTGTGCACTGTTGGATTGTTTCTGTTCCTGAACTGGGGATGGGCACCACGCTGATCCAGATTACTGGGCAGGAAGGGACAGTTCAATCCCTTTCAGGCCTGGGCTTTTCCTGGCTCTACTTTACAGCCCACTGCTTTCACCTGCAGCTGTGGTGAGGGACCCTCAGGGACGTTTGAAATCACCAGATTGTCAAACTACACACAGATCTTTGCATGCTWGTCTTCATTTCCTCCTGCTCCAGCTCTAAAAACACTTCCAAACCCCGTTCTCCAAGGAGCAACACCAGAATAATGTGGCCTCAGACACATACAGGTGAACCTGATGACATTTATTTTCAAGTGTCTGGTTTGAATCCAGAGGTTTGTACATCGACCATACATATTTAGCAAAAAGCAACGAGTGGGATTTAGGAAGGGATGTTTGGGTTCTTTTTTGCCTCATTCATGAGTCTAATAAACCCAAYCTATAAAAACGTGTGGATTCCAGAGTTTTTTTTTGTTTTCCTTATCTGAAGACTTTATGGATCTGATTCTCTTCATCCTCTCCTTGCTATCAAAATCTTAAACCGACCTGCAAATCTATGACKCTCCAACAAGTAATGTACAGCATTCCTTTACCCCTTGATTTGCCTTTTATCCTGGTGCTTTCACACACAGCCACACTTCACAACAACCGCACCTTTTCTGTTACAAACATCTTTAATTTCAGGCCAGGACATCTTTAACTTAAGTTAAACTTTTAAGTATCGCAGGGCATCACTCAAAGGGATGATKAGAGTCCTTTGAGCGACCTGGCGTGCTGTGCATGCCCACCGGGAACGRGCCGGGAAAAGCCGGACCCACAGAGGTTTCACAGGAGTGCACACAGCCATGAGATTCCCTTTGGGAATAACATAAAACAGGCAAAGCAGCTCTGGGTCCCTGCAGCCCGACCGRCCCGCGCTCACCTTCCCGAGGCTGCGGCCCTTCCCTGCCGCTCGCCGCGGCCGCCGACGAAGCAGCGGCGCGTCCCGAGCCCGGCGCGGTGCCCGGGAGCAGCACGGGCTGACACAGCACGGCCCGGCACAGCACGGCCCGGGAGAAGCGAGCCCCGCAGCTCAGCCCGGCTCGGCAGCACCGCCCGGCCCGCGCCGCCATGCCGGCCCCTCAGCGCCCTCAGCGCCCGCCCACAGCCACGGCGGCCGGCGGGGGACAATTCCCGCAGAGCGAACGGGGCGGTGACAGGGCCGGCTGGGGCCATCCCCTCATGGAGAACGGGGCGGGCACAGTGCCGGCTGGGGACAATCCCCTCATGGAGAACGGGGCGGGCACAGTGCCGGCTGGGGACAATCCCCTCATGGAGAACGGGGCGATGACAGTGCCGGCTGGGGACCGGCCACAAACTGCGAACGGGGCGGTGACAGTGCCGGCTGGGGCTATCCCCTCATGGAGAACGGGGCGGGCACAGTGCCGGCTGGGGACAATCCCCTCATGGAGAACGGGGCGGTGACAGTGCCGGCTGGGGCCATCCCCTCATGGCGAACGGGGCGGGGACAGTGCCGGCTGGGGCCATCCCCTCATGGAGAACGGGGCGGTGACAGTGCCGGCTGGGGACCGGCCACAAACTGCGAACGGGGCGGTGACAGTGCCGGCTGGGGACAATCCCCTCATGGTGACAGTGCCGGCTGTGGCCATCCCCTCAGTTCGAACGGGGCGGTGACAGTGCCGGCGGGGGTCAATCCCCTCATGGAGAACGGGGCGGTGACAGTGCCGGCTGGGGACAATCCCCTCATGGAGAACGGGGCGGTGACAGTGCCGGCTGGGGACAATCCCCTCAGTTCGACAGTGGCGGCTGTGGCCATCCCCTCATGGTGACAGTGCCGGCTGGGGATAATCCCCTCATGGTGACAGTTCCGGCTGGGGCCATCCCCTCATGGTGACAGTGCCGGCTGGGGACAATCCCCTCAGTTCGACAGTGGCGGCTGTGGCCATCCCCTCATGGTGACAGTGCCGGCTGGGGACCATCCCCTCACGGTGACAGTGCCGGCTGGGGCCATCCCCTCATGGCGAACGGGGCGGTGACGACTGCCGGGCCCTGCAGTTCGAGTAAACCTTCTCCTAAAAGTTTGATGGCATTAATCTCTGCTTCATGTTAAGCCAGAGTCTCTTGTCTCTCACGTTCACCTTTGCCCACAGGATCCTTCAACCCCCCCTCCCCCCTTTTTTTTTTATTGTAGAACAAATCAAATTGTGCTGGGCTGCATCCGAGACATGCTGAAAACCTCATCTTAATGACAGTGAGCTGTGGCTTTCTTGGCAAATGCACTGCAAAAAAAGACTCAAGGTTTTGGCTCATATTTCATAGTCAAGGAGCTTCAAATTGAAAGTAATCTAGAGGGCTGGAGAGTCCTGTGTTAAAGAATGGATACTGCTCAGAGCTTGGCCTTAGAACTCACTGAGAATGAAGTGAAATACCAACAGGCATGTGGAGAGTTCCCTCTGAAAACAGCACTGAAGGTCCTTTTCAAGGGAAAGCTCCTTTCAGCTATCCTAATGTTTGAGCCACAAAATAAATCTTGATGGGGAAATGAAAGTGTTGGTAGCACAGGTGACCCCAGTAAACTGCCCTGATTTTCAGGTCTGGTTGRAAAAGATATGCACAATTTTATCTATGTTGTATTGGTTTTGTGTAAAATATACCAGTGTATCATCCTGAAGGACAGGAAATGTAAGAGGGGGAAAAGAATTCTAAGAAAAAYATGTAAACAGAAAAGATGATGTGTTTTGTTTATATGTAGAAAATTAAAACATTGACAAACAGCATGTGCAATTGGAGCAAGGAGAGCTGAATGACAATAAAAGTTTTTGCTTACTGGAAAATTGACTTCCTGCTCCATTTGCTTCTCCTTCCTGCTTTCAAATTGGACTTTTTAGTGACAAACTATTAACTGAGTTTTCCTTTCTGCTGYGGCAGAGCCAACCCAGAGTCCAACATCTTTCTCAAAGGCCACATTTCACAGGAGATATTTATAACTAGTGATATTTTACAAGGCTTAGAAAGCAACAAATTCCCATCCATTCACCACTGCTGGTTTTAATGGGATGAGATCCAAGGCTGTCAGAGCTGAGCTCTCCTCTCTGCTGGTGACACYGTGGCTAGCACTGACCTGTAAATGTCAGTGGTAGTGCATCCAAGACCMCAGGAATTTCAAGGCTTTTTTACAGCAAAAGTTAGCGCTGATTTGTTGAGGAATTTTTAACAGAGAGCCTCTCCCATTTGGCTACCAAGCCTTTCCCAAACTTCCACTGCAWTTGATTTTAGAAACACTTAGAAAGAACTTGTGATCCTCGTGCCTTGGGATAAATCAGCAGGAAGAGGAGGGGGAATAAAATCAGTATGGAGTTCAAAACTCTATTCCCTAGAGGGCTTGAGTGTGGGATGGTGGGCAAGACAATGAGTTTTAAAGTTCTGAAATTCTGGGAGAATGAGCCGGTTCATAACACCCAGGTGACAGAGCATCGGAGGGGAGCAGGGTTTGRCTGCTAGTGTGTTTATCAAGGAATATGTTATTGTGGTGGGAAAAGTGTCTTCCTAAAGGTGATTGTCCTTCCCAGAGGCCAGTTGTGTCCCATATCATTACCAACGCCCATGGCTGAGGGTGCCAAGTGCTCCTGCAGGCAGAGGGCAGGTGTCACCGCTCCTGCAGGAGGGCACTGCAGAGGGACCTGGGCAGGCTGCGTGGGGTGAGGTTCAGCATGGCCAAATGCTGTCTCCTGTGCTTGGGCACAGTGATTGTCAGCTTGTAGAGCTCTTAGCAAATCGAGGGCACAGGCTTGCGGTTGACTGTTGGTGTCAGTTGCCGCTGGCAGTCCTTCAGTTGTCCCTGGGGTCACCCACAGAGCTGCAGAAGCTTTGGGCTGGCCTTGCTGTGAAGGGGCAGCTGAAAGGTCCGTGGCCAAGGTAGGAACATTGCCCCTCTCCYTGGCTTTTCTCCAGAGCACAGATCCTCAGCACATGACTGCAGCCACGTGTACGGACAGTTCTGACAACACAAGCCGAGCTTCCACTGCTGGAGCTCAAAAGGCTCCCCCATCCCTCCCCCAGCTCTCATCTCCAGGACACTCACCTTCTCAGTGCCATAACTCGAGGTTAACTCAAGGGTGCAGGGACCCTCTTGGTCTGCTTTTTTTGACACTTCCACAGACAGCAGGAAGTCCATCTCATTTCTGGGATCARTGGGGCATGTTCTGCTCAGATTGCAGCTCACCAGCACTGGTGAAATGGTATTTCAGTCTCCAGCTGTGACAGRGACATTCATCTTCCTGAAGGCAGAAATGTTTGTCTGAAATACTCAGGCCATTCCTAAAAATCTGTGTAAAACTTAATGGTCTCTGCCTTGCTGGGTAGCATCACCATATATTTCTAAACCTTTTCTCTGAAATCTACTACTCTAAGGAGTATGTAGACTACTGAGAGTTGTCCTTTATTGGGTTTTTCACACAGAGCTGTTCAACAAAGCCTTTTCTCTCCCCTCTGTCTGCAGCCTGAGCTAAAGACGTGGCCGAGTTTGCTGTCAGCATGGATAACAGCAGCGGTCCTTTCCTCCTGCCTGCCYTGCTCCTGCTGCAGAACTCGAGCAGCCCCAAAGGCTCCAGCCCTGCTGCTGGCYCYGAGCTGGCAGAGCCCCCRGGACCCGGCTGGGGCAGGAACCTCAGCGTGGCCCAGGCCGGGCTGAGGCCGGGGGAAATCGCCGCTGCCGGCGTGCTCTGGGCAGCGCTCTGGCTGATCTCCGTGCTGGGCAACTTGCTGGTGTGCCTGGTGATCCACAGGAGCAGGAGGACACARTCCACCAMCAACTACTTTGTGGTGTCGATGGCGTGCGCGGACCTGCTGAGCAGCGTGGGCAGCGCGCCCCTGGTGCTGCTGCAGCTGAGCTGGGGCCGCTGGGTGCTGGGCAGCGGGGTGTGCCGGCTGGTGCGCTACCTGCACTACCTCACGCCCGGCGTGCAGATCTACCTGCTGCTGGCCATCACTCTGGATCAGTGCTACACTCTGGTGCAGCCCCTCAACTCCAGAGTGACCAGGGACAAAGCCAGGAGAATGACTCTGATCTCCTGGATCTGCGGGGCTCTCTTTGCATCACCAGCCTTTTTCCTCTTTAGCGCCAGCAGTGAACACCACTGCAACTTCTTTCTCCCCGATTCTTGGCAAGGAAATGCCTCAGGTGTCATCCACCTCTCGGTGCTGTTGTTTCTGATCCCATCCCTCCTCTTTGTCCTATTCTACGAGAAACTCTTTAACTACATTTGGAGAAATGACACCGAGGACATGGCTGGCAGGAGGACAATGAGTCCTGTCTTAAGAACAAAAGGGAAAACTGTCAAGGTGTTCTTCATCTTTGTGTTGGATTTTCTCCTGTCCTGGCTCCCTTTCTTCACCGCACAGTTGTGGCACCCACAGGAAACAGACTACAGAAAGAGCTCCTTGCTTTTCCTGGTTGTCACCTGGATCTCATTCAGCTCCTCAGCCTCTAAGCCAATCTTCTTCTACATCTACAATGCAAACTTCAGGAGAGGGATAAAAGAAATTTGTTGCATGTGGAAACACCGCAGAAGCGACATCTACACCATTAGTACCAGTTCCAGGACAGCTGAAAGAATCCCATTGGAATCACAGCCATCCCAGAACCAGCCAAACCTCACCGAAGACTCCACCTCTGATGCTTTTGACAGAGAAATCAAGGACCATGAGCTTGCCAGGTCTGGTGAGTCCAATTCCCCTGATACRTTTGCCCAGGGGGCTACATTAGTTTGAAAAGCAATGGATGAGCTATGGGGGTCCTATGTTCCCCCAGAAGAAAGAGGATCTTTCACTTTTTTGAAGCAATGAATAGTTRCATATTTTAGAGCGGCTCCCAGGGTTTGTTTTTTTTTCCAGAGAAAAATAAATGTTCTGTATTATTTAATGGCTTGGGTTTGATGCATTTGTTCTATTTTGTTTCAGTTTTCATGTTCTGCTTTGGGGAACTCCACTCCTGGGGTCTACAAAACRAGAGTCCTATTTGTAAGGAGAAAAGGGAAAAAAGGAAACACTGCTTAATAAAATTSCTGTAGGGGATGGGCCATGGTGCAAAAATGCCTAAATTCTCCCAAAGCCATCTAGGCTTCCTTCCAGAGTGTCCCTGGGGATATTCCTGCACTGGGCTTGTCCCTCCTGTTCAGACCCCACTGGTGTGGTGGTCAAGGTGGCCATGGGTTAAAGGCTTGACTGGATGGTCTGAAGGGTCTTTTCCAACACAAACAATTATAGGATTCTCTCTCCTTCCYGTCTTGTGCCTCCATTTCTCTTTGGGAATAACCTTCTCCCGGAAAAGCCATAGCAGATTGTTTCAGGTTTGGGTGAAGAACTGGTTTCTGGACAAATTTCCAACTCACATCCTAGAACTCTTCCTTCACACGCGCCCTGATGGAGCAGCCTCGGGCTCAGCCATTCTAGGGCCTGTCCTGTGTGTTGCTGTGGATCCATGGAATATCCTGTGCTGTTAGAGAGCCCTGTGGATCCATGGAATATCCTGGGCAGCCTGTCCCTGTGGATCCATGGAATATCCTGGGCTGTTGGAGAGCCCTGTCCCTGTGTGTGCCTGTGGATCCATGGAATATCCTGTGCTGTTAGAGAGCCCTGTGGATCCATGGAATATCCTGGGCTGTTGGAGAGCCCTGTCCCTGTGTGTGCCTGTGGATCCATGGAATATCCTGAGTTGGGAGGAACCCAAAGGGATCATTGATCCAGCTCCCAGCCAAGGTTGAGAGAAATGCTGTGTTGACACCATCTCTGCCCCTGCACATCCTCAGGACAGGAACTTTGCGAGTCAGGCTGTGCACCTGAATGCAGAATGGAGAGCAGTGTCAGTGTGCAAAGCTGGAGAGCTCCTTGGTTTACACAGTGCTTACTCTGTGCATTTTACAAATGCTCAACAATGCCTTAGCTGGTCTCACCTGCCTTCTGAAGTCCTGCTCTATATTCTCACCAGAACACTCTCACTTAGAAACCACTGTGAATTTTATCTTATTTTCCACATCAGGGTAATGTAAGAAGAGACCTTTTGTTGTTGAAAGCATGTAGTGCCAGTCCCAGAACAAGACCAGCTGCAGTGTTGTATGTTAGCTTGGAGTTCCTGTTTCATGACTTCAGCGTGGATCACTTGCACATCTTGGGTTGCAGGATCAAAAATTACTGATTTATTTTAAAACACTCTTCACATTTTCCTGGTTTTCCTAAAAAGAATCCAGTAAGTCACAATTACTGTTTGAAAGTCAGCTTTCAGTAGAATGATCCCTGTTCAGCACACTGCTGCTTTTGTTAAATTTTATTCCAGATGAACATTGCCTGCTTTGGGAGGGTGTTTTTAAAGATGCATTTGTGGTATGTTCTGGTTGCTAGAACACTTCTAGAACTCCAGTTCACTCACTTCTTCCAGAATCCTTTCTGGTAAGGCAGCTTCTTTCCCGCAGTGAATTTTAAACAGATATTATCTGTTCACTCATACATCTTATCACAGATATCTTTATTTAGGTTTCCTGGATTCAGCCAAGCTCCTGTGTAAAGAGCCTCTCCTGAAGCAATAGTTCTATTTTTGTCAATCTTTTCAGATATATTTGAAATAAGCACCCATTTTCATGGTATTCTGTTACAACCCTCGAACCAATAACAGTATCCTTTTCCTCCAGTGCATCGCTAATGATTTAAACAAACCCAATCAAACAAAGCTGGGACACTTAATATAATTGCAGATRGGAATCAGGTGACAGCTGAGGGTCACCATGTAAGAATTTATATTGCCTCTTATTATTGGAAGGCTCTCAGTGGCTGCTATCTGATTACCTCCAGCAATGAGGGACCATAGAGAGCCCATTTCACACCGTTCAGTCTGGTAAAGTCTTCAGTTAAATCATCTTTTCCGTGGCCAAGGAACAGGAGTCAGCTGCTCTGGTTTCTATTTCTGCTTTGGTGTCAGACCTGCTGCTACAATTTGAATTTTTTGCATTTGCARTAAAGCCGGGTACTACTTTGCTCTCAAAGGAAACTTTTAACTTTTAAACTTTAAAATATCCAAGATAATGGTTGGTTGATTGGTTAGTTGGGGGTTTTTGTTTGGTTTGTTGGGGATTTTTAATGCTCTTTTTCCCCTACATACTTTGGCTGGTTTTGTAGAGCTAGATTAATTATATTCAGCAGAGGTCAGAGGTGAGGACAGACAGCAGTTTTTTTCATTTAGCAAATTACTGTCTGGAAAAGTTAATAAAGCAGAGAGTGTAAAAGTGTTAATTGATGCAGGAGGCATTTCAGAATGAAGCAAAAACCTGGAGAAGGATTTTTGTGGCTCCAGTCAGATATCAGTTCTCACTGACCACTCACCTGCAATAATGTGTAAAATATTGTATTCAATTCTGTGCACAGGGTAAACTGAGGAACACAGTATCCAAGGAAAATGTTCTGCTTGGGTTGGCTTTTAGAGCAGATTGCATGTATCAAAAAAACAACCAAAAAAAAAAAAGCTGAGAGGGTTTGGTTTGGTTTTGAGTTTTTGTTTTGTTTTGGGGTTTTTGGAAGGAAATATAACTGGGAACTAAGAAATAACTTTCTGGAATAATCTTTCCAAGGAAAGAGAAAAATAAAAAATATGAATAAAAAATATGATAAAAATTGAAGAGTGTGCATGGCATCATTCCCCCACTGATGATATGCAGAAGGTGAAAGGGGTGCCTTTGTTCCATTCTCACCCTCCTGGCTCTGCAAATGTGGGAAGCTGATGTTCAGTGCTGGCAGTGCAGACAACAGTCTGATCTCTGTTACAAGAGGGAGAAAAGGAGAGAAATAACACTTTTCACTTTCTCCTTCCTGATTGGAAAGGTCAAAGAAAACGAGGAGTTTGATTCTGGAGTGGTTATGTTTGGGATTCTCTTCCTCCCTAATGAATACAAAAAACGAGAGCTGCAGTTCAGAAAGGCAACAACATCTGAGAGCCCTGATTTTCCATTACTTGAATCAACAACAAAGTGCTGCTTTTGGCTTTGCCAAAACTTGGATGGAAAAAACCCTGAACAGCTGAAGCTGCTGTTTAGGAAAGGAGGATGCAGAGCCTCCAGCTTGCCCCAGACATCACTTAATTCAGTGTTTAAAGATGTGCAGTGAGGAAATGCTGCTTTTAACCCATTGCAATGAAGTGTCTGCAGATAAGGAAAGGCCTGGCAGGGACATTCAGCTGTTGCTTGTGATTGCTGCTTTTGACAGGGGTCAAAAGGGACAGGAGGGAAGGAAGGGACAGAAGAAACTTCTCTCYGAAATCATCCAAACTGTTGTGGGTTCTCTGAGTGCCTTTTGCAAGGGCAGCCATATAAGGCAGCCCAAGGGAGGGCTCCTGCCCTGCTCAGGGTGGGACTTGGGGAGCTGTGGGATGAGCCAGGCTGCAGCTCCTCTCTGCCCCTCTGCAGGGAATCTGTGCTGTGGAGAGCTGCCAGGAGCAGGATCTGCCTGCAGAAAGTAGGTGCTGATTGCCAGAGGGATTGGGGTTTGTGTGTGCCGGGTGTGTGGGGTGCTGGGTGTGGATGGAAACCAAAGGAAAGGGAACTGGGTTTGATGGAGCAGCCCAGGAAAGGTGCTCCAGGGAGGTGTATTTATATGGAGCACCCCAGGAATGTGTTTCAGGAGCTGTTTTTGGGTGCAGCAGCCCAGGAATGTGTTTCAGGAGCTGTTTTTGGGTGCAGCAGCCCAGGAATGTGTTTCAGGAGCTGTTTTTATATGGAACAGCCCAGGAAGGTGCTCCAGGAGCTGTGTTTGATGGATCAGCCCAGGAATGTGCTCCAGGAGCTGTTTTTATATGGAACAGCCCAGGAAGGTGCTCCAGGAGCTGTTTTTATATGGAACAGCCCAGGAAGGTGCTCCAGGAGCTGTTTTTGGGTGCAGCACTCCAGGAAGGTGCTCCAGGAGCTGTTTTTGGGTGCAGCACTCCAGGAAGGTGCTCCNNNAAGGTGCTCCAGGGAGGTGTATTTATATGGAGCACCCCAGGAATGTGCTTCAGGAGCTGTTTTTGGATGCAGTACCCCAGGAATGTGCTCCAGGAGCTGTTTTTGGGTACAGCAGCCCAGGAAGGTGCTCCAGGAGCTGTTTTTATATGGAACAGCCCAGGAAGGTGCTCCAGGAGCTGTTTTTGATGCATCAGCCCAGGAAGGTGCTCCAGGAGCTGTGTTTTTGCAGCTCTGCTCAGCCTGCCCTGCCCAGGCAGCCTCAGCACTCACCCAGCACTCAGAGGTGCTTTTTGGGGACCTGTGCCGGCTGACCTGGATGAAAAGCTTTGTGCTTTTATGTTTGCAGCCTCCAGAACTGCCAGGGAAGGGATGTGTTCCCTTTTTGCTCTAGGGCTGGTGTCAAGGTGTGAACTGATGCTCTCCTTTCCACCAGCAGGGGTAAGAAATGAGCCCAGGGTAAAATGTGTTCATGTAAATATTGTGTGGAGTAACTGGCAGGGCTCTGGTAAGACTGCAGTGGGAGTGCATTCACTACACATGAGCATCTTTAAACAACAGTGAAAAATAGGCTCAATTTAAAAACAGGCTGAAATTCTGGAATACTCTGTTCTGCTGAGGCTGAAGTAACTCCAAATGTGGGAATGAGTCTTTTCTGAGAGGAGCAGGGAGCTGCAACTCCTCAGCATGTGGGATTTATATTGCAGATAACACAGTACACTTCAATATGACATTCCAAATGTAACTTTGCCATCAACATCAACAGTGCATTGAAATTAAAGTCACCTCTCATGATAATTTTAATKTTTCTTTTCATTTTAGCTAAGCATTTCAAACGGGGAAGCTTTTCATTGTGGTGTGTAAGAAATGAGGCAGTACAAAAAAAGACTCCACTCCAGTCTCACAAAACTATTAATAATGCTGCTAAGGTAAATTGCTGCTGAGTATGAACAGCCATTTAAGTCTGCTCCATGAAATAGATTTGATCTAGAAGAAGCTRTTGTCTATTTTAGTTTGTCTGGGTACTTGTTTGAGAGCAGCAAAATCAGCTGCAAGCATTAAACAAGAAAACTGAGGTTCAGGCCAAGACATTTGGTGTTTTCCCTAGTAGCAATATTAACCTCCCACTATCAGTTATCATTAATGGCATCCTCCTTTTTCACACATGAGGAAAATTGTTCCAGAGTACAGTGGACTGCAAGTTTGGGTCCCATGAGGCCACTGAAATAGTTTATTCAAGTCCTAAAATCCTTCTGTAATGGTGCTTTGGGGAGGTTCTCCTGAGGTGTTGGTGCTGAAGTTCAAAGCCTCATTCAGATGTGGTTTGGGCAGAGCTTCCACCTCTGCTCAGGACACTGTAGGGCCTGCTCAGCTCAAAGTGTGATCTGGGATCAGCTCAAAGTGTGATCTGGGAT